TTTCTTTCTTTCTTTCTTTCTTTCTTTCTTTCTTTCTTTCTTTCTTTGAACTATATCTTTTCTTTTATAAACTCAGATCTCTTCTTTCAGGATGGATCACCTTTATTCCAGATCTTTCTGCAAGCAGTGTGGATGATGCCCACACCATAATATCTGAGGAGGAATTGTGAGTTCAAATGTTTTTCTCGGCAGAAGAACTATTACTCATCCTATGCCTATGGAGATTCTCCTTCCTCCAGGTCATGGTTGTCCCGAAGGTGTTTTTTCAAGAGGCAACTGGACTTTCTGGTTTTTCCTTGGAGATGTTTCACTTCTCATCTAAGATTCTCGTCAAGAGAGGTGAAGAAACTTCTTGGATGAAAAGTGAAATGTCTTCAAAGAAATACCAGAAAGTCCAGTTGCCTCTTGAAAAATGGACCTTTGAGACACTCATCCTAAACTTCTCCAAATTTCCAGAAATTAAAAATTAGATAAACTCTTTCTCCTTCATTTTTGGCTCTTCATGTCCAAAATGAAGCACTGCATTTAAAAAGCGCATAAACATTTTATTGCTCTAATTCCATTTAACAGCAAATTTTATGAACTGTATTGATGTGATATCCAACTGCAATTTTTAAAATAAAGACATCAATGAATTCCTGCTCTTGGGGCTGAATTTGAGAAAAATGGCATCATTTGGGATAGATTAGAAGATGTTCATATGTTATGGTTCCGTTTACTGTTTTGCAGAGCTGCAAGTCACAGGGAAACATATCATAAAGAGGTCCTTTAAAATGCATTTCCTTTTTTTATCATTTCCTCCAGCTGCTTGCTTGTTAATAGTCCTTGGTCTGTAGCTAATTGGGGATGAGTTGCACTTGCAACAAATAATTTGGATTCAAACTGTATTTTGCTGCAAATATTGCATCATATGATTGTCTTCAGACATAAAAAAAAAAACTGAATCTTGAGAAAATATGAGATTGCCAATGAAAACTTAAGTAGATCATGGCTGAGAGATCAAAGCAACTTACCTGGGTGTCTTCTCTAATTCTTCTTTGGCCCGCTTTGAGAAGTGGATTGGATGGAGAAGAACTGACTGGATCAAAAGTACCCAATGAGTTCCATTCAGATATGAGTCTCGTAAGCAGATTATAAACCCTCTTCTCCTTTCCTTCGCTTTCTTCTCCTTCTCCCCTCCCTCTCTCTCTTCCCCTCCCTCTCCCGCTCTCATACATATACTTTCATGTGAACATTTCCAGTGAGCAAAAAGGAGATTCCAGATGAAGGAGGAATGTTTCCAGCTGCAGCGCATTTCTGTACTCCATAGAAATGTTGGAGATTCAACAGTGACACTGTTCATTGATCTCATGGGAAGCAAAGACACATAGATAGGAAGTAGAATAGGAGTAAGGAGTAACCAGAGTTATCAAAAGTCAATCTAATCCTGTGTAGCTGCAGGAGAAGAAATGGCAGAACCTGGGATGGAGTGAAAAGGTGAATCAGCTTAGAAACAACTATGTAGCCACAAGTGAACTTCAAGTCCAGTCCTCCTGGAATATCATTCACTCTTATCTAACTCTAACCAGATGCTGACTGTTAGGAATTTTCTTGAATTTTCCTTCAGTAGCCATCATCACCATCTTCCTCATCCTCATCTCCTAACTTCATTTTTTTTTTTTTAGTTCAAGATGAGTAGGATTCCCAACCTCCCAATTTCTCACAAAACCTTATGAGGTAATCTGGCTTCAAAGACATAGTCTTTCAGTCCAGCACCTGAATTAATACACCATAGTATCTATTTAAGGACTGACTGTAATTAAGAGGTGAGCTGGCTTTAATTTTACACACACACACACACACAGAGAGAGAGAGAGAGAGAGAGAGAGAGAGAGAGAGAGAGAGAGAGAGA